GGAGAGAACTCCCTGGGGTACTGCAAGTTCCACACCAACACTCAGATTTTGTGAATGGGCCCTAAAATGCAATTTGTGGTGTGTGCAACCTGTAGGAGTATAAAACAGCTTCAAAGCCTACATATTTTTAAGTATATTAGAATTTTTAGTAGGATGTGTAAAATGCCCCTGATGCTAAAACTAAAACCTCAAATGAAGTGTTCTTTCATTAGTCACATCTTCTACTACCCACACCATTTATTTCTGCCATAATCATCTATCTAAAAATACATTCCAGATATGGACATTTTTACATAGTTACATTGGATCATTGTAACTATACATATGCCATACCTGGTCAATCCCCTTGGACCCAGAAATCACTGAAGTTTACCGTTTTTACAGTGATCTCCACTAGTTTCCCAGACCTTTACTGAGCAGCTGATCTGCTGCTTACTGAACACAGGAGGTCACCTGCTTGGCATGGATTCCATTCAGAGAATGCAATTAATGCAAAGTGTTCTCCGGTTAGACAGGATGGAGATTGTGAAGTCATTGCCCCACCTCTCCACCTTGTGCAATCAGAGACCTCTTCACCCGTTCCAAGCAAGCTACCTCCTGTGTTCAGCAAGACACAGTACAGCCACTTGGCACTGGACCCAGAAGCTAGTAGAGACCATCATAGTAGTGGGGCTTACTAGATGATTTCCAGCTTCCAGGGGATTCCTCAGGTATGGCATATACTGTACATACATTAGTTATACTGATCCAAGCGAGGCCATTGTAACTGTGTAAAAATTACCATACCTGCAATTCTTCTTTAAGAATGTTCAGTAACCAAGAGAATCTCAGATTCCTCTCTCAGTGGTTTAAATCTGCTGGGTCCTACATCACTATGTGGGCCAGCGGAAAGAACCACAGGGCACAGCATGGAATGAGGAAATCATCATTGCTGGAAGTATTTGTTTCTGGAGTCATCTTAGCACTGATTTCACCTTACTACAGCAGTGTTCAGTGTTGCAGGTACCAGGAGCCATGACTAACGTCTTCAGATTTGCTTTAAATAAATGTACATTATAAATTATTTTTAAGATATACTTGTAAAAGAGATCAACTTAAAATGGTTGTAAAGGCTGAAATATTTTTTTACCTTCAAGCATGCTATGTGCATAGTAAGCAATCAGCTTCTGGCTTCACCTTATTCAGTTAAGGTTTGAAAATGAAAACTAGAAGCTGATTGGTTGCCATGTACAGCTGCTCTTGATTCTGGCTGCTCCAGTGTTAGTAAATTCCCTTCACTGTGTTTGAGATATCCAAATTCAACAATTGTTTAGGAGACCCCATCACCTTGCCCATTCAAGTCAAAGTGATGGGGCCTCTTCAATCCCCACCCCCATGTGACCTTTTACCATGATATAGGTCTATAATTTTTATCATAGGTGTATTCTACATGATAGAGACAGAATATCAACCAAAAATCCAGAAAAAATGCATGATACAACTGTTATAGATTGAGTTGCAGTTCAGTGAGTAAAATAAGTATTTGATCCCCAAGCAAGACATGACTTAGTACTAGATGGAGAAACCCTTGTTGGCAAGCACAGAGGTAAGACGTTTCTTGTAGTTGGTTACCAGGTTTGCACACATCTCAGGAGGGATTTTGGTCCACTCTTCTTTACAGATCTTCTCTAAATCCTTAAGGTTTCTTGGCTGTCACTTGGCAACTCGAAGTTTCAGCTCCCTCCATAAATTTTTTTTATAGGATTAAGGTCTGGAGACTGGCTAGGCAACTCCATGACCTTAATGTGCTTCTTCTTGAGCCACTCCTTTGTTGCCTTGGTGGTAAGTTTTGGGTCATTGTCATGCTGGAAGATCCATCCATGACCATCTTCAGTGTTCTGGTTGAGGGAAGAAGGTTCTCATCCGAGATTTTACAATACATGGCCCTGTCCATTGGCCCCTCAATGTGGCAAAGTCAGCCTATACCTTTTGCAGAGAAACAGCCCCAAAGCATGTTTACACCTCTGTGCTTGACTATAGGTATGGTGTTCTTAGGGTCATAGTCAGCATTTATTTCCTCCAAACACGGTGAGTCGAGTTAATGCCAAAGAGTTCAATTTTGGTCTCATGACCACAGCACTTTTTCCCAACCCCTTTCTAAATTATTTACACATTCATTACATGTGCCTGTACATGTGCCTTCTTGAGGAGGAGGACCTTGCAGGCGCTGTAGGATTTAAATCCATGGTGGCGTGTGTATCAATGGTTTGTTTGGTGACACTGGTCCCAACTGCCTTTAGATCTTTCACAAGCTCCTCCCGTGTAGTTCTGGTCTGATCCCTCATGTTTTTCATGATCATCCTTACCCCATGAGGCGAAATCTTACATGGAGCTCCAGACCGAGGGTGATTGATGATTATTTAGTATTTCTTCCCTTTGCAAATAATCACTCCAACAGTTGTCTCCTACTCGCCAAGCTTCTTGCTGATGGTCTTGTAGCCCATTCCAGCCTTGTTCAAGTCTACAATCTTGTCCCTGACGTCCTTTGACAGCTCTTTGGTCTTGCCCATGGTGGTGCCCAAGAAAGAGATTCTGTGGACAGGTGTCTTTTATACACATAACGAGTTGTCGTTAGGAGCATCTTCTTAAATTGACAGGACTAATCTGTGTACCACATGAGCAAATAGCCAGTCTGAGGGAGCCAGAATTATTGTTGGTTAGTAGGGGATCAAATACTTATTTACTCACTGAACTGCAACTCAATGTATAACATTTGTATCATGTGTTTGTTTCTGGGTTTTTGGTTGATATTTTGTTTCTCTCATTTAAAATACACCTATGATAAAATTATAGACCCTTCATTTCTTTGTAAGTGGGCAAACTTACAAAATCTGCAGGGGATCAAATAATTATTTCCTCCACTGTAAGTAACAACACATGGTATTTTGCAATGGTTGCCAGGAAGGAAGAAATGGCAGGTAAGCACCGTGAAAGCAAGAGATGGACATTAAAAAGTCCCCTCCACTTTGACCTGAACAGGAATTCTAAAAATGGTTCTGAAATGACTAATGGTTGTATTTCACTAGTCTTCTTTGTAACTGTGTATAAATATGTTTTAGAACCATTTTCAAAATTTTAAAATGCCTGAAGAAGGGACCTGAGTCCCAAAAGCTTGCATTGCATCTTTGATAATTTAGTTAGCCAATATAGGGGATCACATGAAGGATAAGTGCATTTTGAAACAAAGCACATTAATCCTTTCTGCCTCTGACCTAATTTAAAACCCACCCTCTCCCTCGACAGATGCATACTGACCATGATCGAAACCCTGTCCAAATCATGCCACCTCAACCTTTTAACCAATGATACCACAAAGCTTCTAATTCACTCCTTTGTTATCTCTCGCCCCGACTACTGCAAACCCTCCTCATTGGCTTACCTTTACATAGGCTATCCGCCCTTTAGTCCATCATGAATGCTGCTGCCAGGCTCATCCACCTTACCAACCGTTCAGTGGCTGCTACCCCTCTCTGCCAATCCCTCCACTGGCTTCCACTCACCCAATGAATAAAATTCAAAATACTAACAACAACTTACAAAGCCATCCACAACTCTGCCCCCAGCTACATCACCAACCTGTTCTTAAAATATCAACCAAACCGCTTTCTTCGATCCTCCCAGGACCTTTTGCTCTCTAGTTCCCATGTCCAACTCCTCTCATGCTCACCTCCAGGACTTCTCCTGAGCTTCTCTACCCCAATCTGTCTGTCTATCTCCTAATCTATCCACCTTTAGACAACCCCTGAAAACCCTTATCTTTAAAGAAGCCTATCCTGCTTCTAACTAGTAAACTGCTTTTTACTTCCTCCATCAGATCATCCCCCACAGCCATCGCTTTTTGTATCACTCAACCCTTCCTCTTAGATTGTAAGCTCTAATGAGCAGGGCCCTCTGTTTCTTCTTGTACCAAATTGTATTGTAACTGTAATGTCTACCTTCATTTTGTAAAGTGCTGTGAAAACTGTTGGCGCTATATAAATCCTGTATAATAACAATAATGATCCAATAGTTTGTTTTTTATCAAGAGTGTTGGTGGTAGTATCATATAGACTTTTATAGGGCTGTTTCCTGAGGCCAGACATGATTGGAGTCAGCCCCATAGAAGTCTAGGACAGTGAAGATTCATGGCACTGGATATAAACAAACAAAGAACCATGTCCTTCATATATGGGTAGGTATGCATCTGTGGGATGGGGGGGGGTTAGGTTAGATCATGGGAAGGGGGGGGGGGAGTATAAGTGTACTTTGTTAAAGCCTAAGTTTAGGTCATTTCTTTTTAATCAGCACCAGGGACAGTACTTACTGTACATATAATGTGAGGTGTGTCCCTTAAGCTTGTATTGGATGTCATAGTCGAAATCCACAGTCCTCTGCAGCAGTAATCTTCCATTACTGCAAGGGATAATACCAGTGCTGGAAATGTGACAGACACTCATGAAGAGTGCCAGCTTTGCCCACCCTTTCCATCCTCTTCCTCCATTCACAGAATCTGTATTATAGTTTCCTTGAATGAAAAGTGATCTATGAATGGAGGAGGTGGACCTTTCATTCATCTGCCCATTCTTCATTCATACATAGCTTTTCATTCATGGAAGCTATAGTACAGCTTCTGTTAATGGTGGAGGGGGGCAGAAGGGGGGGAGCGTAGCCAGCACTCTTGACAAGTGCCTGTCACAGGTCCAGCACTGGTATTAACCCCTGCAGCACTGGAACATTACTGCTGTGGGTTATTGGGGGGGGCACAGAAGACATTATATTTCCACTATGACAGCTGGCACCAGCACAAGAGACACGTTCCATTAAATGTAAGTAATGTCCCTTTTGCTGATTTTTTTTAAATTTAAACTGAAGCTTCAGAGTGCACTTATCATTTACACTCCAAACTTTCTGCAATATTTGATATATGCAATATTAGCTTCCACAGCCTATAAGCATCCATCAATGTTTGTTTTCTTCATCAGGTCACTTTGGATCAGGTGTTGCTTCATACTTTATATTTTTACGATGGTTATTCGGCATTAACATCGTCCTCACAATAATGACTGGAGCTTTTGTTGTATTGCCAGAGGTAAGAGCCCATATTCATACAAATGCAGTTTCCAAACATTTTAAACTAAAAATGCTTTTTAAATATTAAGTAAATGCATCCATTCAAATCTAAATTGCCGTAATTATTTTATATAGTAATGTCAGCACATATATTTACTGCTACTTAGACACACCAGTAATCTGAAGATATATAGGTGTTGTCCCCGTACAAGACACCAGTTGATTTATTATATTCTGTCTTGACCACTACTTTGTAACCTCTATAAAAGCCATAGACCATTTATCAGCTCCACTATGGCAGACACCTATAAGCTATGACAGATGTGAGCTCCACACTGCCATTCTCATCAACTGATGGATAGTTCTAGTATAAGTGTGCCCTTGTGACAACAAGCCTTGCCACTGAATGCAACTTTTGGATGCACTCCTTGTTCTCTCAACAAGCACTGACATTATAAGAATATTGATAGCAATAAGACAGGATCGCTTGACGTAAGTCCTTGATCAGTCACTGTTCCACATTTAGTCATGTATTTATGTAGGGAAAATGAACACTGTTGGGGGGGATTTACTACAACTGGAAAGTGCAAAATCTGGTGCAGCTCTGCATAGAAACCAATCAGCTTCCAGTTGTTATTGTCACAACCTAAATGAACAAGCTGAAGTTAGAAACTGATTGGCTACCATGCATCAGTTTTATTAAGTCTCCCCCTATTTTTTTCCTCAGCAGAGACCGGCCCACTAAAATCTGCAAGATCTGTGTTTAGTATGTTCACTCTAGTGTCATTTAATTAAACACAATACTGCTGTCAACAAAGATGAAATTCAACTTATCAAACTATAATATATATACTGATCAGTCATAACATTATGACTGCCCATCTAATACTGAGTAGGTCCACATTCTGACACCAAAACAACCCTGACCCATCGAGGCATGATCTCCACTAGACATCTACAGTAGCATCACATTGACTCCCCCGCTTGCCTTTTTCCCCATAGTGGTCCCTGGTTTCATCTCTTCTCCAGGTAAGTAACACACACACCCGCCCATCCACAGTATGCAAAAGAAAGCTTTGAATAATCTCTGATTCACCAGACCAGGCCATCTTCTACCATTGCTCTGTGGTCCACTTCTGATGCTCACATGCCTTTTATAGGTGCTTTTGGCTGTAGTCAGTATGGGCACCCTGATTGGTCTGCAGCTACACAGCAGAACAGCCTCTCTCTCGTTTTTGCACCTTAGATGGACTATGGACTATGGGATTTGTAGTGTGCATAGAGCAATGCACATGGCCATAACTAACACACACTGCTCATTCAAAACAGAAGCGAGGGTGAAAAGGTTAGAGAGGAGGTTAGGGAGCTCACAAAGGATGTCACAAGCAGGCAGACACAGTGAAAAAACAATTTCATGAAAAATATATTACAGGGCCATTAAGTAGTGGATGTTTATGGATAATTTTTAGAGCATATGGATATTGTTTGTTGTCACTTTACGTTAATAGCATTATCTTAATTGTTTATTTGTTTTTACAAATACATTTTTTTATTTTGCTATCTCACTGTCCAACTGCACAGATTTCCCTTCACTTCCTTTCACAGAGAAAAAGCATTAAGTGTGGGGAAACCTCTCCAACGTGTGAGAAAGAGAAAATCATTGGAATAGGTGCCCCCATTAGATGATTGTCTCAGTTATTGTTCCAGTGACATCTGTAACATTTTGGATTTACCATTACTCTATGTCCAGGGGACTTTGGTCACCCACACAAATAGAGAAGGTGAATCTCCCCAGTGGGAACAGAGACAACAAATAGTAAACTTTAAATATAGGCTTCACCCATTAAATATAAGATTCTCAAAGCACATTGGGCTTTATAAGGAGAGAGCATAGAGGAACTCTTCTCAGATGTTCTGTCACTGGTTGAGATCTGGTTGAGAGTTGCACAGAAAGAAGAGGCGTGTGAGAGGTCACTGTTGTGACTCATTCTATTGTATAATTTTTAGTTTCAATTTCACCTTGTGTTAGTGCGCTTACAAGCAACAAAGGGGCTAAGGAAACCCTGAAAAACATACTAAAATAACTCAGAGCTCCATCTGCTGGCTGTACGTGAAAATACTAAATATTAGTAGGCAATTTCATATTTGCTTGACACAAAATGTGTTTTCAAATGTTATGTTTTTTATAATTAACTATGATACAAAGATATATACAGAATATACAAAGAATATACACAAAATCACTCCATTAAGGATTCCCCATTTTACAGTGCCACCCCCACAGTAAATGGCTCCTGATGTAGTAAACAATGCATTGTGAGAGAAAGATAGTCACATGCTCTCACTTTACCAAAAGTACTGGGAGTTTTGTAGAGATTGGTTGGCTACAAGCGTTTGTGGAGTGAGAAGAACTTGTCAGCAGTACAGCAGGTGGGTTTTCCAGCAACCCTGTGTTACTTTGCTCTGAAAAGGCAAGGTACAAATTCACTTTAAGGGGAATTCCCACTTTAAACCATAATAGAGATTCCCATCTCTGGGGCCTGCCTATTAGTCAGTGAGGCCACCCATCACATCAAATGACCATTAGGGGACTTTACAAGAAAATTCAATATTTGAATAAAAACCCTTTAGCCTATATCTCTGTTAATTGAATATGATACACAAAGAATAAAGAAAAAAATAAAGAAAACCATATAGATATTGTAAGTGCAGTAAATCCAATTAATTATACGTATAAAGTTTTTCGCTTAACTTGCATGCCGCACATTTCTTGGTTTAAGTGATTTTTCTCATTTTACATGTTTCCTTCCCTGAGCAGCTAATACTGTTATGTTCTGTTATCAGATTCTTGCTGGAGCTCCATTTGGAAGCACTGTTAACAAGAAAATACCTGACAAGGAGATGCCATCAGCGCAGGACCTGAACACCATCTGGTCACTTGGGGCAAGGATTTCCCATCACTGTCAAGTTTAACTGATAATTGTTGTTAGCACGTATAAATACCATGGCCTCCTTCTTAGCTATACATACTCATTACAGGTTATATGATGTGGCCTCTTCAGGTCTCACCATACAGAAGGTCTACAGTTGAGGAGGAACAAGCTAACTACCTCTAGCTACTGTGATATGTCTTGTAATGGACAATGGCCATGATCTAGGCACATTAAAGCTGAATTCAGGACATAAAAAATATTTCCATTGAATATACAGTATTCCTTTGATAGGCACAGAGGATATAAATCTCCTTTGTGTGCACTAAGTGCATTTTCAAACAGAAGTTCTACAGTTGAAGAGGAACACGTTCACTTCTTTTAGTTACTGTGATATGTATTTTAATGGACTATGGCCATGATGTAGGCACCTTAAAGCTGACGTCTGGGCACAAACAAATTCAATTAAATATAATCCTTTAATGGCCACAGAGGATATAAGTCCCCTTTTGTGTGCACCAAGTGCCTTTGCATGTCCAGATATCATATAACGTATCAGTGACATAGTCACTGTATTGTACATAGCCTGTGCTGACAGCGGAGCTGTGGTTAGGGGTCTAGCAGGCTCCACCTACTACAGGTTGACTGCAGAAAACTACAGAAGGGGGTGGCAACAAGACCAGTCACCCTGCAAAAGGACATCTGTGACCTGTCTTTATTACAGGAAACTCCGGCACAGAGGCAAAGTTTCACACAAAATAATGCACAAAATACACAAGTTGCACCATGATTTTAAAAAGTAAAACACGCCTCATGTATTTGGACAATATTTGTTTTTCCCCACGTTCAGCTTTAATGTTGATAATGAGGAAAAGTTATATGGAGATATAAATAAATCAGTGCATTAAAGAGTAGGTTAAAACTTCTTTTTTTTTAGTTTTGTATAGAATGTGGAAGTGTTAGAGCTCAAGTCAGGTATTATTTCCCTCTGTGTTTACGTTGGGGGATGTACCCAGACTGTTGTTCCTGGTGTCCACTGCCTCCAGTACAGACAGTTATGGCAAAGGCAAACAGGGTCATGCCGACACTGCTGGCCCCAACCCCCCATCACTGGGGCACAGATGGTACCCCACAAGGTAGCGCCACCTGCTGCCACACACACTCAGCCCAGTAAAACTAAACTTGTTGAAAGTATTGTTGTTGAATGCATCACTGAGTAAAAGTCTGTCCTGGCCACCATGCCAGTCACACAGGCAGATGCTGTTGCCAGCAGTGTTGCGCTCAGAGATGCTGAGCTTGCACTTTTAACAGGCTCTGCGTCACCAGTGGGGCTTGACCGATGTGCTTACAGTGGTCGGGCAGAGAGTTCATTGAAGCTGATTCTGTGATTTTTTTTCAAGGTCAGTGATACTGAGCTGCACTAAAAGACAGAGTATCCAGTAAGGACAGTTTGGTCTCAGTGCAACCTCCCCCCATTGTGCCTCCATGAGTGCTGCCTTGAGTTAACCTCAAGGGAAGCATGGCCATGATGGGAAGTACGGTCTGGATAAAAGCGCACAGATGTGTCCCAAAGGAAATAAGTGAATGGTATATGTCAACTATGATTGTCTCACTGCTGCCATGGTAAAAACACAAAGTTTGTGGGAGGTATGAACAGGAGCCAGATTTGTAGTTTTGTGGAAAAATACACTGTATGGAGGTGTGTCTTTAATAAGTCAGGAGACTTGACAAAGCGCATGCCCATGTTGTCCCAGCAACCGGCCTTTCCTTCTAAAACTGCGGCTCCAGCAAGAGTTCCCCCCCTCTGTCTCTCCACATCGTGTTATCCAGGACAAGTCGGGTAAACGTGGTCCCTGCACTGGGCATTCTACTCCACTGCTGGAACGGACACAGGCCGTCCAGGAAAAAAAGCCTGAGGCTGGTTATTTATTATTGTTTTACCATATGACTTATTAAAAACACACATACAAGGTGTATTATTTCTATCACAAAAACTACACAGCGCCTGGCTCCTGTTCATACCATGATGGGAAGTAAAGCTCTTTTGTGTTGAGTTATCACAGAAAATGAAAGTCAGTGGAGATTT